TTGTTAATTATGTGTGTGTGTATATACAATAATCAAGGTTGTTAATTATGTGTGTATATACATATATGAGGGTACTTCAAAAAGTTCATGGAAAGATATATATTATTTTTTAATTTGATTTTCCATGAACTTTTTGAAGTTCCCTCATATACCTATATACATGTATGTGTGTGTGTATATATATATATATATATATATATATAGAGAGAGAGAGAGAGAGAGAGAGAGAGAGAGAGAGAGAGAGAGAGATGGAGGGAGAGACAATAAAGCATATTTGTTTATTGCAGAAAACCCCCAAGGAATTTAGGTGACATTTTTGGTATAACATGTTCTGCATCGGGCGCTGGGAGGGGCAGGGGAGGGACCCAGCACTATCTTGAGTCAGACTGTGCCTGAACTCCACATGGATTCCTGAAGAAGGACATTGGTCAACTCTGCCTGTTTGGAGAGTGTGGACTCTGTCCAGGCAACCGTGGGTCCAGAGGGCTGGTGGTATTTGTTTCCAGTTCTATACTTTCTAGGTTACAGAAGCAGTACAAACAACAAGCACTATGAGAAGGTGTAAGGTTAAAACAAAGTTCCCTCCATCCCTTACCTTACCTCCCACGGGCACTGACCATTGATAGTTGGGTGTTTGTTCCAGACACATCAGTGTGCCTACATATACATGGGTAATTTGACTTTTTGTAACAAAGGAGATCATACTCTGTGTGTCTGTCAGGATCCCACAGGAAACAGATGGCACAGTCAGTCTGGGTAACAGAGAGAGGTTAATGAATGAAATATTTACGGGGGTGCAGTCAGGGGTTGGGAAGCCCTAAAGCATGGTGCGGTGGGCATGGGGTAGCAATGTGAGACACCATTACCACCCCAGGCCTGAAGGGATGGGGGAGGAGTGGTTACTAGAGCCAGAGAGGCAGAGTGGAGAGAGCCACCTGCCAGGAACCATGGACTTCCTTAGGAAAACACAGTGAACTCGAGAGTCCCTGCCCTCACTCTGCTCGGGCCGTTGTATCTCCTGCTGGGGCCTCCTGATGGCTGCACCTACAGGAAGCCAGGCTGGGGCTCTGCACTCTCTCAGCAATACCCCCTCCCCACACCCCCTTGCACACCACCCTTTATCTGCCTGGAGACCATCAGGACTAACCTCATCATGCCCTTTGACCCCCACTTACATCAGTCACCCCAGGAAGCTCAAATCCTGGTCCCCCCCCCTTTCCGGGACCTCATCTCCACATGGACATCAAGGCAACATCCCCTTTCCCCTTCCCTGTTTTTTTCTCCATAGCACTTACCAACCATCTGGCATATTATTTCTTTGACTTAGATTTTGTTTGTTGTGCTTGAGTCAAGTAGATATTTTTGTCTTTGTTCCTTGTTATATCCCTAATTTTTAGGACAGTGCCTGGCACATAGTAGGTGCTCAATAAACGACAAGGCATCCAAGCACTTCCATGTCAGCCCTCACAGCCCTCTGATTCTTTTAGATCACCAGATAGTATTTCATAATATGAGGAGAACTATGGTACCTGTGGCCATTCCCTTCCATTTTAGCTTTTAGGTGAGTTCCAGTTTTTCCCCAGGACAGACAATGCAGTGGGCAAAACCCCCACTATACGCACATTTTCCTCACACTTGCGTGAATATTTCCCTGGAGTAAAGTTCTACAGATTGAAGGACAGTGTCAGAGATGTGCACTTTTTGATGGATGCTGTGCTGTTTTTGAGTTCACGTGGAATAAAGAACCAAGCTTTCCTTTGTGCTGGGTGTGTTCTGATGCTGATGCAGAATTCTCCACCCACCATGAATCAAGCATTTATTCCATAGAAGACAAGCTGGATCTAGGCCAGTCTTTGTCCTTGATGAGTTTGAAGTCTAATTGAGGAGCCAGGGTGTCCCCAGGGTGTCCTCCTCCCTTCAGGGCAGGCTCCAAGAGAGTCAGGGCTGGGGGGACTCAGAGAGGGCAGGAGTCCTGGAGGCTGGGGAAGTCGGGATGACTCCCCATTGAAGGAGCCACTAATGAGCTTCATTAGTTAAGTCAAGAACAATTTATTGAGTACCAGTGGTGTGCTGGGTACCACTCTAGGTGCTGAGAAAACAGTATCAAATAAGCTAGAATGGTGACTGCTCCTACAGACAGAATATTCTAATGAGGGGAGGGAAGGGTAAGCAAGTAATGAAATAAGCAACAGAAGAAAAGCTCTGCAGGAAGTAGAATGGAGTGATGTCATGGGGGCTGATGGGGTGGGCTGGCTACTTAAACTGGGATGCTTAGGAAGTCTTTTAGGAGGTGGCATCTGAGCAAAGATGGGAATGACAAGGAGTGAGCCATGGCAAGTCTGAGGACAGAGCATTCCTGGGCGAGGGAGGAAGTGGCAGCTCCCATGTCTGTGAGGTGTGACTAAGCTTGCAGCGGTTAGGGAGTGGATGGGAGCCCACGTGGCAAGTGGGCTGACAGAGAGGGAGGGGACAGGAGATGAGGTTAGCAAGGTCTCTGGGGACAGGATGGTGTAGGGCTCTGAGGCCATTGCCAGGAATGTGGATTTTATTCTAAA